AAAGGCTTAGGACGGCACTCGCACGGAATGCAAGAGATCCGATTTCTGACCAAGGTAATATTCTTCGCAATAAATTTATTTTACAGATAATCAAATTATTTTGACAAGAATTTAAAAAAAAATAAAAATTATCAAACGAGAAAGGCTACGAATTAAAGCTAGCTGTCAATAATTAATCTATCTTTAATATCTAATTGATATAAATATTTAATATACAGACGTTTCAACCTTCATCAAGTCATCTTCAGTAATACATAAAAATTAAACAATTAAATTTATTTACATTTCTATGTAATTATATTATGATCTCTCTAATGTCTATTGAGCATCAATAATTTAACTGTGATATTATTTCGGTAGTTTAGCTGCGTTTTAAATTCGGAAAAATTTTGGCGCGTAATTCAATTGATTACAATATAGTATATATGTATGTACATATAATATAATATACATTAATTCACTTTAAATTAGTTAAGCATTAAAAAGATCTCAGGTTAGACCATTGTGATCAGGATTTTCTATTTCCTATTTGATGAGTTTCTGATAGAAATAGTTTAATAGAAATTTGTCTGTGCTCGATTTGCTGAATACTACTACGTTAGGAGACTCGTTAGAAGACACAGTAATATCTCGACGTTAAGACAAACTTAAAAACTTACGCGGATAATGAGTCCATTACAATATCACGGTGATATTTTCAATTTTTACTGCGCTGATCGGATGATGAACTGATCACGATGGCAGTGCGGAAATTAATTTTCAATTTCCGATTTCCCTGTCTTTCTTCCTGTTTGGCGTTTGAATCGTCACGACGATCGACAGCGGAACAACAGATGCTTTCACAATACAAGCCACTACACGTGTAATAACTGTATGCACCATGTTATATCGTTGCATTTTTGTATAGGTAGCATCAAAAGAACAATGAAGACGTAACACGAAAGGGAGAGGAAACCGAGCATTAATGATCCTCGTGGTTTTCTGTCGTCTATAATCTAAAAATGAAATAAAGGCACGAAAATTAAAATTAGTAATTTAAAATTCGATTGTGGGATGAAATTTTCTTTCTAAATGTCTTATTTAAATTACTCGACGTTACATAAATTTACTTTGATAAATATATTAGGATTTTTTATTACTTTCAAAAATACATTGAAATAATTGTATAAGATAATAATTCTGTATGCACGATAATTTTCGCACGATTAATTTTACAGAAATTAGATATGGTTAGAAAATAGCGATTAACTTTTTCAAAAAGAGATAGAGATTAATTAGTGCCATTATTTTTTTAATCAAATTTTATATTATTATGTCAAGTAGATTCAAATAGATGTTGAATGAAAAATAAAATGAGAATATGTCGATATAATCGAGCGACTGTTAAACTTTAAAAATGTGTTATCAAGCAGTTTAAAATGTCAAAAACTTCTCTACATTCTTCTTCCATCGAGATATTTAACTTTTTATGAAATGCGAACGCAAAAAGTTGACAAAAATATTAGTGTCAAAATATTTATGGACACTACTGTATAAAAAGCAACATAAACGTGAGTCTTTCATTTGACAAAAAATACAGACCATATTTATGAATCATATTGTTTACAATTTTGTACGATTTTTTATTAAGTATATTCCATTTAAATTTCAAGTTTAATAATATGATTGTGTCTATAAATAATATGAATCTTAATCTTTTACGATTTTTTATAACATACCGTTGAAATAATTCGAGTAATATTCTGTAATATTGATCGACATCGATTTGTGATTGATTCGTGGACACTCTATTAAGAAATCGTATACATCGACGAGGAATGATACAAATACAGAATGAGAAGGGAGGGAAGGTAGTAGAATACAACGGTCGCGTGCTATTACTACGGACCCCTTCACCTTAAGATAATTAGCGATATCCATCTCCTACGGGGTTCTACCCCTCGTACGAACAGAGCCAGACCTCAGACTCGGAACGCGTGGCATTCGTCTACGAGCGTATAACAAGAGGAGGCCGCAAGGTGTCGGCCAGCCGAGGGCGGGAGATTCCAGGATAAAGACGCGCGTGGCGCCGGAAGGAAGCCCTCGAGAGACTGCATTCGGTGCCTTACCGTAACGTTGAAACGCGTTAACGTTATCAACAGTGCCGGAACTTCAAAAGACAAACTGCGACGTACCGATGAAGCTTTAGAATTATTGTAATGATAATAAAATACTTCTTCTTTTATATTCGTACGAAATGAACAATAATATAATAACGTTAAATATTTATAATACCTAATAACGTAAATTATTAAAATTCTATATAATATTTAATTTTATATAAGAAAACGTGAAAAATGGTGACTGAAATGTTAATTCAAAATTTACGAAATTGTGATGAAATATTGAAAAATTTGTGAAAATGGGGTATTCTATTACTGAAAGTGGCGTGCAGCTGTCTTTCAAATTCCTCATTGCAAATGAAATAAAAGCGATGGATGAAGGTTAATTCTATCTTTCTCATGAAGTGATGCCGTTGGATAAGAGACTTTTAATAATCTTGTATTAAAGAATCGCGATACAGTTTGGGGGGGAAGTGTAAGGTGTTGGTGACCAAAAGCGGGAGATCTTGTGATAAAGGAGTCGACGAGAAGGAAACCTGAAGCACTCATGAGGAACGACACCTTGCGCGATCGGGTGAGCAAAAGAGTTTAATCGGTACTGCCAAGTGGACATTTAAACACGTTCGATATAAACAACTGAGTCTTGTTAATAATTAATTTTCGTATAACTCTTTTGCTATGGAAAATTTTGACACAAAATAGGCGTTTAGCAATGACATTATACATGGTCAACTATACAACAACGACTTCTTATCAGCGCGTGTTTTTTACAGAAATAATTGAAACGCTGAATTGTTTCACAATGAAGAAAATATTTTATAATTGATTTCTATTTTTCATTCAAACATTAAACATAAAACTTGAAACATACGCAATATTTAGGCCAGTATTTATGGTCGATTTTTATATTTAATCTTCTTAAATACAATCTTAAAATGTCATAAATCACAGAATTGACATTTTAAGACATTACTTAAGATGGTTTTGAAATAAAAACATACTCCTTTAGTTACTAAGTAGTTGTTGATAAAATAGTGACTGCCTCTATAGACGCCAACGACAATGAAAATGTTAAACTATTTGACTTTAAAGATACGTTAGCAAATATTCTACATATGTTTTCTGACTTTGGATTTTGACTGCAGTCATGATTGAACGTACCCTCGTCATATAATGATTAACTTTTCGTCAGCTTATTTCACATCCAATTAGAAACTCCGTTCGAGGGGTGGAATACGTGACGAGTGTATGATAGATTGACTATTGTTGTTTGCAGTTTTGACACTTTGCCGCTCTCGGAAACGAATCCAAAACGTATCCGAGAGCCATATGGCATCGCAAGCGTGTGGCGAAATCCTTGAAGCATCTTTTAATTTCTTGTTCTAACGCTCGAAATCGTATTGTGCATTGTACAATACGCATGTTTGAAGGTATATTTTTCAAGGAAATTAATAAAATAATTTAAATAAAATATATGCATACATATCTACATGTGACATCGAAAGAACGTATGCAAAACTTACGTATATTGATGTAACAATCATAAGATACATAACTTATCCAATTTAACAGCTTATAAAAATATCTCTAATATCTCTGCAAATATTTGCGATAAACAATTATATACATCCGAGTTGAAAAGAACTACATTCATGACATGCCATTTGAAATTGCAGTGTTTTTTTCCGATTCTTTACATCTTCTGATAAAAATGTGTATTGAAGATGTTGGAATTTAATAATATGTCTTCTTATTTTTGTCATATTCATGCCTTTTTTTTATTAATTCGTGACAAAATAAACAGAAAGTTATGGTAACATAGAAAGTCTATGTGCATTGCAAGATGAAGAAGGTAGAGAAGCGTTCTGAAAATTCAAACCTTCGAATGAAATGACGGATAATACAAAGAAAATTGCACTCTACAATTACGATGTTGCTTTACAACGAACATCAAACCGCAAAATTAGGTGTATACCTTTCAGCAATCATTTGACTATAGCTAATAGGAACAATTGCTTCGAGAGTCGTGTTACACAAAGAATTGTTAATATTGTGAGATATTGCACACGACTGGACGATGTGGTAAGGATCGAAGAGACCCGTTTAATACTCTACTAACATAAGTAAAATGGATTTCTTTGACGGGCACAACTACAGAGTCAACAAAATTCTACTATTGGCAATCGGCCAATGGCCTTACCAATCGTCTAGGACGAGCCACGCAATAGTCATCGTCATAGTAACTATAGTTTGCACGCAAATTTTCGCTAAGGTATGGCGATGAATACTTCATCGCATCAACATTCAATTCAAGGAAATAAATGTATAAATTCGCGTGTATATTTATGACATTATGTTAAAGGTTATTCCACAAGAAATTTTTTTGTATCATTTTGCAGTCCGCTGTTGCATAATAAATAACTGAAACAATTTACGGATACAAATATGACGAATTGCGAGCTGCATATTTTTTTTACCGTAAACACGTCAATAAATCATTTATTAAAGTTTTATTTATTAAAAATAAAAATTTGTTTTATTTTTTTTATTTTTATTTTTATAACAACTGTGCAATAATAGTTGTATGCATTTGTCAATAAGGCTGATGTTCTTAAGGTGCCTCTATGTAATTCGCAAATCATAAAACGTAGTTCACAAATGTTGAAGCAGAATGATAATCACCGCACGCAAGTCTTTCATTCTGCGTCTGTGTTTGTGAATTACGTTTTGCGATTTGCGAATTATGTAGAAGCATCTTTATGCTACAATATTATACCGTCTGCGGTTGGCAAAAGATTAAAATAACGAATCGTATCATGGATTCAATTTTTTTTTTATGACTAATAATAATTAACTCATTCTCTCAAGCTATGTGGTATGTTCTCCTACATTCACGATATGGATATCGTGATCGAGTGTCTTGTTCCATTAATGGTTGACGTATCAGGTATGACGAAAATAATGAATTCCGTACTGTACGCGAATGAGGTACGTACGATCATTTTCTCTATAATGTATCTCACAATCAGTATAATTAACTTATTCTGAATATAAAAGCGTTTTTCTGCTCAATTGTAATTTCAATGTAGGTAATGTACAAAGGCAATTTACGAAGCATATATTGTTAAACATTTAACTCCGATAAAACGTTAAAACTCAAACAATTTGATCACTTAAGAATATTTTACATTTATAGATAAGAGCCTTGCTCGATCAAATAAAAGATGATTTTTATTCGTTAAAAAATTCCAATGACATAAAGATACTTGAAAAATATGCGGATAGTGGTAAAAAATCCTCGACCATTTATATTTGTGAGTAAATTAAAAATAGAAACTAAAAATTAATTGTTTAATTAATTTTTAGTTTCTTATATATTTAACTACTTTTTAAATAACACTTTTCTTTAGGTGTGATGTATATATTAACAGTAGCATTTTTATTGATGCCCCTCCAACCGTTAATCCTTCAAGTCACCAATGTCACTCGGCCTATGTTGCACAGAGTCGAATATTACATCGACATGGATAAGTATTATTTTCACATACTGATTCACGGATATTTCACCGCTATAATTTGCGTTACGTCCATCGTCGCGACCGATGCAATATTTGTCATATTTATGCGACACGCTTGCGGTCTATTTATCATAACTGGGTGAGTAACAGCGTTTCGCGGGAAGAGATTCGATGAGAAGCTCTTTCCTTTTTCAATTTTATATCGTTATCCTTGAAGCTCGCGAATAGAACAAGCTATACAGGAAATATACCTGATCGGAGATGTCAATCTCCCAATTACAAAAGATACGGCGTACCAAAATATGGTACAGTGTGTTCACGATCACAGAGCAGCTATAAGGTTTGTTATTTGTATTTCATTGTAATTAAATCTTCTGTTTGTCTTGGAATAAAAATAAATTTGGACAGTCTTAGACGAGTGCAGAATGTAGTTGTTTAATTTTACGATATTGGGACGTCATTTACTGTTATTAAAATATATTTGAATCAAGGTTTGTCAATCTCATAGAAATTGTGTATTCCAAACACTTTCTATTCCATGCCGGGCTGAATATGATAGCTATGAGCGTTACAGGCGTTGGGGTATGTGCTTCTTGTATTATTAATTGTAATAGTAACGAGTGTTGGAAATTGATTTAGCAATACATTAATAGATGAACAATTACAATTAATTAGTTTCGTAAATATCTTAAGAACGATTTAAAGAAAAGACTTTTTATTGCACTTATGATGTAATTATTAACTGAATTTATTATATGTATATTTAATTAAATATTTAATTCTAGGATTGTCATACATCTGTGACACATTTCAAGTTGTATTCTTGGAATTTTTTATTGTTTAAATGTTTGTATTTTGTAATTTAAAGGAATGTGAATTTTGATTTTATAATGATATTTTATCATATGTGAAGTTCTCCTTAAAAAAATTTATTTTTTCGGAATAAAATAGAATAGATATATTTAGGGGTTCAAAAAATCCATTGTACCAAACCAAATGTACCAAAAAATATACCTATAGCCCTAAAATTAAAATATTATTTTCATAATTAATTAGCAGCGATTAATATATCTCATTTAGGCTGTGACAAAATCAAATGATCTATCTGAGCTTTTGAGACTAATAGCGGTGTCGTGTGCGTTACTATTTCATCTATGCTTTGAATGTATTAATGCTCAGAGATTGATAGATTACAGTGGATACCTCCATACTAATTTGTACGTATTTCACGCGTAAACGTTAAATAAAATTAATTAATATTATTGATAAAAACGTGTAAATATATTAATTTAATAAATTAATTTAATAAATTCCAGTAAATATATGAATATAAATTTAAAAACACAGCTTAGCAAAATGTGAGCAAGCTCTTATCTGTAATTGCAGAATAAATTTAAACTGGTACAATGCGTCGCCTAGAACGAAAAAACTTGTTCTTTTTATGATGATGAAAACGCAGCCGCCGTGCGTATTAACGGCTGGCGGTATGTTCGTTTTGTGCATGGAAACATTCGCCACGGTAAGATAATTTGTTCCGAACTTGTAGGGAGGGAGAAAGTACGTTGACATAATTTTTATGTATTAGGAAAGCACATTACATGCCTTAACTCAGAGCTGTCCAAGATTGGTGTTTCTTTGCTTGAAATTGAAATGTGTCGATATTCACGTCCTCACTTCATTGCATTTTTATCGTAGCACGCGATGCTCAGTCTCATGAATGGCACTAGGCTGAAATCGTTAAAAGATATTGACCTGTAGCTTTCACTATTTAAAAGCATTCTGTTACTAATATTATAAGATATTATTCATAATAAATTTAACTATAAAAATATGAATAACAGAATATTTTTAAACACAGTGAAAGACACAGGTCAAAAACTTTTAACGATTTCAAACTAGTGTCATCCTTGAGACCGAACGTCGCACGCTACAATTAAACAACAATGAAGTAAGGAAACGGTAATAGATGTGAATACCGACATATTTCGATTTCAAGCCAAAAAACACCGACCTGGGCACTTATCATAGAACATGGTCGGAATGGATTCTGATCGGAATTATTCACCCAGTAAGCAAGAAACATTTTAGAACGTTTCAGCAACATTGTAGCAATGTTACAATGCTGTTGAAATGTTCCAAAATGTTTCTTGCTTACTGGGCAATTATTCCCCAGATTTCTATTATGTTTTCTAGGGAAAGCAGAATAATTCCGATAAGAATTCATTCTGACATGTTCTATGATAGATATCCTGGACAGCTCTACCTTAATTGAAACACATCTCTTATTATAGTTTCAAGATTATAGTTGTAATCGTATTAATTTTACATTCAAATACTATACTTACAATGTTGACTGTTTTTCTTTAAGATTGTGAAGACTGCTGTCTCATATTTCACTTTCTTGCGCAAGGCACATTGATAAGCGCAGCTTTCCAAGTTTTAATGAGACGTCATATCTAGAAACAGCAATCATCCACCAGTTAGATCTAGGACCGATTAATATTGATTAGAAATTTTGATCTGAAATTGAGAGCAATCCTTATTGAAATAATTACTGAAATTGTAACAGCAGTTACTAAATGGATGCGACCTATATAAATGATATTGTGGTATTAGATACATATATATATATAAAATTTTTTATAAAGTGCTGTTATTTTTAACAAGTATTTTTGTATTATTTAATGCATCTACAATGATTATAGTTACACATCATCCGTTCGAAAACAAAATATTTTTTGTAGATGATATATTTCCATCTCTCAAATCGTCTCTAACTTCCGCGTAATTCAAAATGACTCTTTCAACATTAGATGCGCAACATTATTGCGAGGAACTATCTATAGAAGTATCGTTGTATAAAACGTATAAAAGTTGCGTATTTCCTCAGAAAGTATGAAAAGAAAGTAGAGTAGGCCCTGGAATGATATTACAACGGAAGTGAATTGACGTGAAATTCGCGGCGATCTTTTCCTTTTGTACAAGAAACGATCGGGAGGTTTAAGCGTTGCGTATGTACTTTTAACTTTCCGCAATGCTTAATTCAACCCCTCGCATAGCACGATCACGAAAAAGGCATCGCATACGGTGCGCCGAGAATTTATCTCTTTCTTTTATCTCTTTCTTTAAACTGTCCCGTGCACGCGTATCTCAATATCGTGTACCTTTTGCGTGCTACGACGTATCGATTTGATTCCTTCCGCGGTGCAATTTTTCTCTATTATACACTGTCCAAACGGAATGCTTAACGAGGCCAGTGAATTCCTCCCCACGCGTTGCGCTTTCCGCTTGGTAAGGTTTGGCAAGCGCAGTGCTATACCCGCTGCGGGACCGTCAAGATGGATAGTGTTCAAGGTCAATATATGCGTATCAATCAGATTCTTATGTGTCTCATTGGCGAATGGCCGTATCAGGAGGGATGGGAAAAATTTCTGATCCAATTCGTCTTCGTGCCCGCGGTTTTCTCTCAGGCAATTGTTCAGGTAAACTCCCTTTTGAATTTTCTTTAAGTGATGCAACTAATGAGTTTTCATAAAATTATTGAATAACTAATTGCGCAGCAAAGATAATATAATAATTGACTATGCGTATACATATGAAAGTTTAACAACAATTGAGCTGAAAATAAGTGATGGCTACTAAGTCAAAAATTATTTTTTTTTGTTTTGACTAATAATAAATCACACTTATTAAGATATATTATGAAATATTATATTATTAGAATAACAATATTTACTATTCTTCATTTTAAATTAGAATTATTAATGGCTTTCCTCTTTGCCTGGTAACTTGATACAGAAATTTTACATTTCTTAAATTTGAAATCATAAAAAAAATACATGTATTATATTTTTGCAAGCTCATATTCTTGTTTTTCGGAATATCGATTTATTTTTATGATTTTAATTAAACGTAGCCATGCAAACTTGAAGACATTTTGCAGGGCGGCGGTATGATCACTGCTTGGTTCGCGGATGACATTGATGCGGTTATGGAGAGTTCGTCGCCTTTTGTAATTAGTTTAATGTGCATCGTTAAACATATTAATTATACGTATAACCATGAACAGGTATGTTTTTTTCTCGAGGATGCGAGAGTAATCACTTTATCGATACTAATCGTAGTTATTCGTTATACTAAATGTAGATGAAGAAGCTCGCCTTTGTAATGGCAGACGATTGGAATATTTATTCAAAACTTAGCGATGAGTACAATATTCTTTGTAAGAATTACGATATGGGTAGAAAAGTCTCGATTGCTTATGCAGGTAAAAATTATACTAAAAACTTAATATTATAATTTCCTTTAGAATTTCGCGACATAACTTAGATTAATTTTCAAAAGTATAATAAATTATATTTTGCATAAATTTCAAATATATAATTTATTTAAAATATTTATGTGATACATAAATATATATAATAAAATATATATTAATAAATTATAATTCTAAATTAAAATTTATATAAAATATAAATACTTTTCAAGCAAAATTAAAATATCTCGCATACATATTCTGAGCTGAAAAGTTAATAAAAACCATAGGGATATGTGACTCATAATTGATATATAATTTACAGTCTCTCTATATGGTTCAATGACTCCCTTTCTGATTGTACCGGTGATAATAAACACAGTCAGCTACA